ATCCTGGAATATTGGATATTCCAAGTGAAAGTTGAAGAGTGTATTTTTATCTGCACCCCCTATGTGATCAAAGTAATAATTGAAGGAAAGAGGTTCATTAGAGTAACGTACTGCACAAAACGAGATGAAAGTCAGTATAAAAAATGACATAAAAAGTTTAAGAAGGCTTAGTCAAAACGTAGGGAATAATCATGCATTATACATGACAAAAATGCAAGGGTCAAATCCGCGTTCCAAATTCAAAAAAAAATGCAAAGGTCAATCCAATGTTCTAATCGATAAACGCAGGGTCGAAACCCAGCATGTCAAACTCAAAATGCATGGTTAAACCCAGCATTTCAAACTCAAAACATAGGGTCAAAACCCAACAGTTCAAATCTGGAATGCAAGAATTGATCATGCGTTCCAAATCAAAAAACGCAGAAGTTTTACGCCCTACATTCCTATGGCTAAATGCGAGTTTTCACTCTGCGTTAATTGTTTAGAACTTGTCGAAACAAGTTATTCGGGTCTCCAACTTACCATTGGTCAGAGGAGTCGACAGCGGCAACGCAGTCGCCTAAGCACCACTGGCAACCTCAGCCACCGATGCACCCTGAACCACTACTGGTTTCTGAGATTTGGAGGCAGTTTTCTTCTTGGGAGCCATTTCGATCTCGTCGGAGAAGATGAACGAGCTTGCCAGAGAAGAATGAACGAAGATCTTCGTTGGGTTCGCTGGAGAAGATGAACAAGACGCCTGTTGAGTTCGCTGAAGAAAACAAAAAAGTCGAATGAATTTTGATTTGACCTTTGGCGGTCTATTTTATAGACAGCTGGAGCTGTCAAACCGGAGCAGGATTTTAGATGAAAATCCCGCCAGTTTTGAGCTAGTTAGACTGCTAAATGCAAGGGTTAATCCTGCATTTCAAGATTCCAAACGCAAAGTTTAACCATGCGTTTCATCTTTCAAACATCAGGTTTAACCCTGCATTTCAGCTTCCAAACGTAACCCTGCATTTTAGCTTTCAAACGTCAGGTTTAACCCTGCGTTTCGGCTTCCAAACACAAGGTGTAACCCTACGTTTCGAGTTTTAAACTCGAAGGACCAATGCTGCGTTTTAGCTTTCAAATGTTAGGCTTTTCCGATTAACCCTCATGTTGAGCTACCACTGCTATTAGAGTTATTGTATAGAGAAGCTAGCAATGGCCATCAAGGTGACGAAAGCCGAGAAGAAATTGATTTACAACAAGAAGCTATGCAGCCTCTTAGATGAGTGCAAACAGGTTAAAATTGATATCACTGATAATATCGAGCTCGTTCCTTCGCACAACTCTTCCTTTCAATGGCTTAACATTCCTACTAAGATTAACAAGGATATTGTTAAAATCATTACCCTTGATGAGCTGATCAAGAAAAGACGAGTCCTCTGAAATTATCATTTTGGCCAAATTTGTGCTACGCCTTGGATGTTCATCAATACCTAAAATGATCATTTTAGCCAAATTTGGGTTGTGTCTTAGGTGTTCATCAATACCTACAAGGATCATTTTAGCCAAATTTAGGCTGCACTTTGGGTGTTCATCAATTACTACAAGTATCATTCTAGTCAAATTTGAGCTGCATCTCACATATTCATCAAAGTCTACGTATTCAATATTGTAGCGGGTTGTTATTAATAACGGCAAAATTCACGTCTCACATGCATGGGGATTTTGTCTCGATCCCTAATTAGAGATATGTCGACACCTAACACGCGTCGCCGGTTAGTCTTTTTCCCGTGAAAATGATAAAGCCTATGTATTCAATACCATAGCACTAAGCCTAAAAGAGTTTATTCTTTTAGCACAACGTTAAATGTGGAACAGTTAGATAATTCACATGCTAGCCCGATTTCAAACGGTAATCGGTAAAGGCACATCAAATCCGCTGATGACTGAGAATTTGCCAAAAATCCTATTACGATGCAGATCACCAGCATACGTGTACTGTGCAGCAAAATTCCACAATCAGGTTCATGATACCTTCAAAATAGATATAGTGAACCATCATTCAACAAGTCTTAAACCAATTTTGGGATCCAAAGTATTCTAAAAATTCGTTCCAGTCAACCGCAGACTTTCGAAAACTTTGGAGGGGGTTCTGTAGGCTGTCTAAAAATTACTGTAGATAATTAATCCACATCAAACACCAATTATTGAATGAAGGCTATAATTAGAAGATTTTCACGTTGATCAAGAAAGTTTACAATTCAACGACCTTCACGACAACCGATGAAAGCTCTGATTCAACAAGTCTTCACAGTCAACAGCGAGAGTTACAGTCTGAGGACTCTCACATTTCAAGGAGATAAAGCAAAGATTACAAAATGACGATATTTGTAATGCTCTGACAGAAGAGCTTATAAGTCAACAACCTCTTCAGTCTAAGACACAATACTCATCTCTGCATCCCAGAAATGAAATGCAAGTGGCCGCATTTTGAAGTCAAAGAAACGCAACCACTGCGTAACTAACTGTCAACGCGGCTCAAATCCAGCTGTGATATACCAACGCAGCTTCAAAATACTACAAATGTTACAAACGCAGCTTCCAACCACTTTTACAGAGAGCTTAGATCTTAGTTTGAAACTGATTTCAGTTAAACCAAGTAACTCTTTTACAGAGTTTTAAACTTGCTCTGAGTTCTTAAACTCGTTAAGAGTTATTCTTAAACTTGCCACGCAAGTTCTCCTCGACATCCATAAAAAAGAAACCATGTTCCTATGAAGTGAAACGTTCGGATCGTCAACGGAAAACAAACTCGACGCGAGCGTTCGAGGGAGGCATATCGACACCAAGAAGAACCCAGTTTTAAACAAAAGAAAGGATCTCCATCGATCTTTCTCTCCTTTGTAAATCGGAAAACCGATCGAGAAGATTGTAATTTCTTTTTCTAAGCCAGTTAGAGAGAAATTTGCATTGAGAGAATTGTAATTAATTCTTTTTCTAAGTCTGTTAGAGAGAATACTACAAATTCATTTTCTCATTTTCTTCTTTCAATTTTCCCGACAAACAATGAGTACATATTAACTGCATGATGTAGTACCTAAAAGTATGTGAGTTATGAGCCCAATGTTTATGGGTCACTGTGCGTGATAAATTTCATGAATGTTTAAAAAATGCTATGTTAGTACCTTCTGTTATGTAAATGTGAGAATATTTTTTCAATATTTCTGTGACATTCACATGCCAATTTTAGATTATTTTTGTTCTTTTTAATATTTGTTGAGTTTACTATTAAACTTAGCCTAATTCTAGTTTAAAATAAAATTCGAATAGGTTTAATAGTAAATCTAACAAAAATTAAAGTTTGTGTTTTTACAAATCATCCTTAACATAGTTAAGCCCTTAACTATGCAAAGATTGATCTAGGAGAGAAGGTGGATCAATCTTAGGCTCTAACCCAACTAAAGAGAGTTGTCAAAATGTAGCTCACATTAAAAAAAATCTAAAATAAACACGTCTGCATCACGTGAAAATATTCAAAGAATAGTCTCACATTTGCATAATAAAAGACAATAAAGTGCCAGTTCAAAAAACGTTATGGTATATGTGTTTATATGTGTTGTCAAAACCAGTAAGGATATATGTAAGCAAAAATAGAAGAAATTATAAGGTATTTAAGTGCTAATTAGCCATGTTTAAATTGTATTTTCTTTTCTAGAACAAATTGGAGCATAATATTACTATAAGGATGGTAAATGATACTACTTGAGCCGTTAGGATTCAAATATGGATATTGAATATCTATATTAGTCACATGCATACATATATTGCATAAGGATATATGTCCAAATAAGTATAGAAAAATTCAGATTTCTATCTGGATATCAAAGCACGCATGTCAATCAAATAGTTGAATATTTATTTTGATATTAGATATGAATAAGGTATCATTTTGGTGATCCAAAAATCTAACCTTATAATTAGATATTGCGTTAAACAGTTATTTTCCGACTCAGATTTGAGAAATTTATTTTCCTTATCATGACAAATGATCTCAATGCTTTTGAGTCATATTTGTATTATTACATTCCTACATCTAGGTATGCCTTAATCGAGTCCTCACCCAAATTCAAATTGATGCTTACAAAGTACGAAAAATCTCTCTATTGAATCATACAAGCATTTATATCTGCATATACGCAATGAATAAATACATATACGTATATAATAACTGTCATATATCTGTTTAAATTATTAGCTCTTTGTTTGTACGAGTGGAAGATATGAGGTGGTTGGCTAGAGGAGGACAAAAGAAAAGCACGCAAAATGAGATCAAAAAATTACAAACAAAGAGATAAGAGGTTGTTGAACTCTTGGGTGGTTGTCTAAAGAAGAACAAAGAAGCAAAACGGTACAGAAAGAACGGGAGTAAAAGATTTTTCTATATTAGTCCCTCAACTTTAATATTTTGAATTAGTCCTAAAAATCATTTACATTGCCTCCCCCAGTTTTTATAGCTTCATATGCTACCCTTGATTAAAGATTCTAATTTGAAATAACTCGTAAGAATTAAGAGAATTTATCGAAATTTCAATAATTTGGAGACTAGTTTGAAATACTAGCAAGTCTCGTAATAGTTATTTGATGATTTGTAAGGACTAATTTTGGAAAATTTAAAACGTATGGGACTAATTTGTTAAAAAAACCAGATAAAACTTCACGCTAATTGAGATAAAAAAAAATAAGAAAGCTGTTGGATTCCCGCTTGTTGTAAAAAAAGAAAACGAGGAACCAAAACAGTGAAAAAGAAAGGAAGAAAAATAAAAGACGCAGAAAAACTTCAACGAGGCTGAATCTAAAATTTGTTCCCAAACTGCCCCTACTTATTACCCTAGTTGCTAAATCTTCTTCAAAAGTTTGTTCCCAATTTGCCCCCGCTCGCCACCCGCCCTCTCTCGGGTGTGGTGGTGGAGCCCATCTCTGCCTCGCTGGCCCTGAGCCCTTCCTTCTTGTTTTTTAATGGGTTTTGTCTCCTCATCCTTTTTAGAGAGAGAAAATGCCTCTTTTTTAGAGAGAGAGGAGTTTGTTCTTTTCTTATTTTTTTTCCTCCCCAAATCTGCACAGTCGGCCGTTTGATTCCTGAACAAGAACCCACCATTTTCCTCTCTTGGAAACTCCAGATCTGCGTCTAAGGTCAGATCTTGGTTTCTCTTTTCTTCTGTAATGTAGAAATTTTGTTTTTTTGGGTTTATTTTGATGTGCTTTTTATTATTTATATTTTGGTGTAATTGAATACAAAGAAGGTAATTAATCAATTTTCTGCTTTATTTCTATATGAAAATCTCATCATGTACTTGATTAACTTAGTTCCCAAAGAAACTGATCTCCTTTTCTATTTGATCTACTGATTAATTAATCATGCTCCTTTTTTGATCTTTACCTTTTTTTGACTTAATTTTAGTAGAATAAAGTCAGGACCGTGCGTCCATTTTGACCAAGAATCTCTCTGCAGCTTCTCTTGATCTTCCTATAAATCTTGACGAAAGGGGAGAACTTGCATTTTCAAATAATCAATCACTGTTTCTCAGTAAAAACCATTAAATGTCGAGAGCACGGCGGCGGTCTTGGGTGAGATGAGGAGGGATGTTGGCAGCGTTGATGAACTTGCTTCGGTCCTGTTGGCGGCCCTCGTCATCGGACCGATACGTGCACACTGGTTCTGATGCTGTAGGTCGACAAGATGGGCTCCTTTGGTACAAAGATTGTGGGCAGCATGTTAATGGAGAGTTCTCGATGGCGGTTGTCCAAGCTAACAACTTGCTTGAGGATCAGAGTCAGATTGAGTCGGGTGCGCTGAGTTTTCTTGATTCTGGACCATATGGAACGTTCATTGGTGTCTATGATGGGCATGGTGGTCCAGAGACGTCTCGTTATATCAATGATCATCTCTTTAATCATCTTAAAAGTAAGTTTCTAACCCATGAATGATTTGATTAGTGATGTGGTCGTTTTGATGATTCACCATTATATAGTTTGAGTAGTTTTTCATCTTTGTTCTGTGATTAGTAATTTGTGATTAACTGAAGTGGTGCACATTTTGGTGTTCTCTCTGAGAAATTACCCAATGCACCCTGTTCTTAGCATTAATATTGTACCAAAAGGATATCGAACAAATTTTGGTTAAAAGGATATTGATCCTTGGGTCAGTACACAAATCCAAGTTCAGTGATCAAACGGTCGATTTCACTTTGCTGCAACATTAATGTCAGGTATCGTCAGTATTGGATACTTTCTCAGTATCTGTAGTGATGTGGCTTCATACAACCTTACTTTGATTTAGTTAATCTTCTATACCGTAGATAGACCTGGGTTTAATCTTTGATTGGAATTTGATGGAATCTGTTATCTGTAATATGCCAGCCATTTGATGTTCTTCAAACAATTGTATTGGTGCATGATTCTCACAAACTATTTTTCAAGCTTTGGAGAGGATTAACTATGAACTGTTAATGTTTTCTTAAGTTCCATTATATATGCTTTTCCAATCAAAGTGGTTCTTTCAGGATTACCTTCCTATTAGAGTTTCATTGTAACCTAAGTTGCATGGAAACGGGCACGGGTATTGGTACGGGTGTGGATACGGGTACGGGACACGGCAAAACTGTAAAATGTTGGGTATGGGGACACGACTACATATATATATATATAATAAATTTTTTCCGCTTCATGTGTCATTAGAATTAAAATTTCGATCACATTTTTGAGTTTATTTTATCATATTGATTATCGTGAATTATAAACTACTCATTTTTTTACTAGACATCTAAACGACCCATTAACTATATAGTTTTGAACTTGGGTATGAACTGAAACGAACACGACCCGTATCCCATTAGTTTCAAAAGACGGATGTGAAGTGTAAGCTTTACGTCCAGGAAGTCTTTGACAAGTGTTTTAAATTAACACATATATCGTCTAATTGAGTACATGTTGTAATAAATGCATGCATATATTCAAGAAGTGTCCATGAAGTTTGGGTACGGGAAAGTGTCGGGTACGTGTCCGGTACGGGCACGGCTTCAATAATGAAGTACCCGGGTAACATAGATTGTAACCATAATGCGTGCATATGACAGGGTTTACATCGGAGCAACAATCTATGTCAGCTGATGTGATAAGGAAGGCATATCAAGCAACAGAAGAAGGGTTCTTCTCTTTGGTTGCCAAACAATGGCCTATTAAGCCGCAGATTGCAGCCGTTGGCTCCTGCTGCCTAGTTGGTGTAATTTGTGGCGGAACTTTGTACGTTGCTAACCTTGGAGACTCACGGGCTGTTTTAGGGAGACTAGTGAAGGCCACAGGAGAGGTTCTTGCTGTTCAACTATCAGCAGAGCACAATGCAAGCATTGAATCTGTCAGACAGGAATTGAAGTCGATGCACCCTGAAGATTCACAGATAGTCGTTCTGAAGCATAATGTTTGGCGTGTAAAGGGACTTATTCAGGTACTCCTTGTTATACTGCCAATTGAAGTTGTTGCTAATAATGAATTTGTGGCAAAGAGAAGATTGTTCTTATTCATGCAATATTTACATTTACAGATATTTCTTTACATAGTTAATTGTACTTACGTGTGCCATATTTCTTGTAAATCTGTCTAAACTCTTATTGTCTATTGACCAACATTACTAGGTATTTGAGAATTTGATATTATTAACTTCCTATCTAGTTTCCAACTTCTCTGGTGTCAGTTTGGAATTTTTGCATTTACAAATTTGCAAGGTAGGAAAGTTCTTGGAAAGTTCAACCATTTATGATTTATCTTTGTGCACAAGTTTAAATTAGGTGGCGTTTGGTTGTTTGCAACTGGAGTTGCAATGCAAGTGTCACTTGCATGCAACTTAGACGTTGCAACTCTTCTTACATGCAACTACAATTGCAATTGTTTGGTTTAAAATTTAAATTTTACAACTTATAGTTGCAGCTGTTTGATTATGCTTATAACTTAACATATGCAACTCATAAAATATTTTTAAAAAATAATATTTTTTAAAAAGAAATATATTTTAAAAAAATAATATATTTTAAAAAATAATATATTTCAAAAAAATAATTTATTTTAAAAAAATAATTTATTTTTAAAAATAATATAATATATCATTTAAAATATATATTATTTTTAGAAAATTATATTATTTTAAAAATACATTATTCAAAAAACATATTATTTTAAAAATATATTGTTCAAAAAATATATTATTTTAAATATATATTATTTTTAGATAATTATATTATATTAAATATATTATTCAAAAATTTTATATTATTTTAAATATATATTATTAAAAAATACATTATATTCCTGGAAAATTTTATTTTTCAAAAAATATATTATTTTAGGAAAATATATTATTTTAGAAAAAATATATTATTCAAAAAATATATTATTTTAAAAAATATATTATTTTAAAAAATAATATATTATTTTAAAGATAATATATTACTTTAAAAACTAACATATTATTTTGAAGAAATTATTATAATAATAATTATTTTAAAAGATTAATGTTGTTTTTTTTAAAAAAAGTTTTTGAAGAAATTATTATAATAAGAATTATTTAAAAGATTATTTTAAACCTTTAATGAATTTATATTTGAAATATTAAGTAATGATTTTGATTTTAATAAATTTAGGTCAGTTGCAACTAAGTTGCAACTATGACTTGCGGCCATTTTTGACGTAAGTCATATGTTGCAACTAAGGGTTGTTTTGCAACTGTGGTTGCAACTGCAACTGTGAGTTGCAGCAAAACAAACACATGCAACTGGTCAAATTGGACCTAGTTGCATGCAACTGGAGTTGCAACCACTCCAGTTGCAGCCTACCAAACAGTGCATGTCTATGTCCTACTCTCTCATCTGTCTTGCAAATCATTTTATGCTAAACTATTTTCATTTAGTGTTCCATCAGACTAGCCCTTATCTCACATTTGCACATATTCAGCATCTCTGTTTTTGTTTCTGGATATCTAAGCGTGTTGTTGCACATTATTTATTTTTCATTTTCGCATTCTCATATTCTATAATACATGGAATGCAACAATTGCTTTGGAATCTTTTAGGGGAAATGCATCTGCCCCTAGGGAAAACGCAGGTCGCCCACCCCAAGTCAATATACCTTAAGCTTACACCCTCCTAGATTCTTTTTCCATCACTTTTTCGCTTGTCCCCACCCAGTAGCTTCATTAACTGTAAAATACCCCTTATCTTTAGCTATAGCTACAGTTAATAAGTTCTTGCTTGAGAGCTTGAGGATGAAGAAAAAAGAGATTGGAGATTTGGTTTGAGGATGAGGAAGAAGCAGCCATGGGAGGTTTTGGTTTGAGTTTGATGCAAAAAAAAGAGGAGGCTCGTATGGAGTTTTTTGTTTGAGATTGAGGGAGGAAGATGAGGAGGCCGAGGAGTTTTCGTTTAAGCTTAAGGAGGGACGAGGAAGAGGTTGGGTCTTGAGGAATTTTTATTTGAACTTGAGGAGGAGCAGATGGTCAGGATGTGTTTTGATTTGAGCTTAAGGAGGGGAAGGAGGAGGCAACCATGGAGATTTTTGTTTGAGATTGAGGGAGGAAGATGAGGAGGCCGAGGAGTTTTGGTTTAAGCTTGTGGAGGGAGGAGGAAGATGTTGGGTCTTGAGGAATTTTTATTTGAACTTGAGGAGGAGCAGATGGTCAGGATGTGTTTTGATTTGAGCTTAAGGAGGGGGAGGAAGGAGGAGGCAACCATGGAGATTTTGGTTTGAGCTTAAGGAGGAAGGATGGCGTGTGGGTTTTTATTTGAGGAGGAGGGCGGGCTATAGGGTTTTTTTTGTTTAAGCTTTGAGTTGACCATAGTCATTGATGAGCTAAGCGAGTGTTTGAGAAGGAGAGAAGTAGTAAAGGCTTCTGAGGAGTGAAAAAAATTTGTTCAATCTGTTTCTATTTTGCATGTTATTAGTAAAAGTAAATAAAAAACCATAAACAAGTAACTAGAAAAGGAAAAAAAGATAACTAGTAAAAATAATTGGAGCACATAAAATATAAGTAGTAAAAGTTAACTCATCAATGGCTATGGTGAAAGAATTAATGTATTTGAGATCATTATTTTTTCTCCTTCCCTTCAACATTCACAAATCTCCTTTCTTTCCCTTCGCCATCAATGACTTTCCTTCTTCAATCTCCTATTCTCTAAAAACGTCCTTTCCCCTATATTCTCTCCTTATCTACCACGGCCTCCCTTCCCCTACTCTCCTTCTTCAATCATCAGCCATCTCATTTTTCCTTTTCCTCTTCCAACACTTTTCGCTCCTCCATCGAGATTCAAGTTGGATGGAGGGAGTTATATTGAGAAGGAGGCGGAGTTGGAGTCATGAGATGGAGGTGGAGAGCGTCGGAGGTTCGCAGAGGAGAGGCTATGGTCATTAAAGCTTTTGTTAACCCAAAGTTCTTTTAGAGGTATGATGGTATTTTTTGGATTAATGCTAGAAATTGTGGGAGACAGACAGTTAAAAGCTTTGTTATTAAAGAAGTGAGCAGTTTAAGTAGTTGACAAGTTGACCCGGGGAAGGTTTTTTTTGCAGGGATAGAACCGTGGAAGCATCTTCCTCTCATTTAATCATCTGAATATATTATTAATTTTGATAAGTAGAAAATTCTTAAATGATTGGAATATACTGTAACATCAAAAGTAAGTGTCATGGCCTAATATTTTCCATAGGCAATTCATGAGTCTTCAACAACTGTTTGGAAATCTTTTTATCATCTACAATATATTATTGTTGAGCAAATCCCAGAAATTGATGACATGGTCCAAGCTTTAAGCTTTTCTTTTGTTATGATTTAAATGGTGCTTAAATAATTGCCAAGATTGGTCATTTAAGTTATTCGATAAATTCTAGTTAAGCAAGGCTTCCAACTCCTCGAGCCCATCAATAATCTAGACAAATATCAAATGAGTCCAGGTCAAGTGATAAAAAAAATCCTTCCCCCCTAACCTCCATGAGGTAGTTGTGTGAATTTCTCCTTCATGGAAGCTTTTTTCCCCTAATGCAAGAGTGCTTCGTAATAGTTTTCCCAAAAAAAAAGTAAACAATAACTCGTAAATTTCAAGCAAAAAAGAATAAGCATTAAAATTTTGTAGGAATAGCAAGAATTGGAATAGCGATAATTTTGATTGAATTGTCAATATTGATTAACGATCGACATATATGCTAATTTTTTTATGAAGTGTTACTTGTAATATCGCATCATTTTAACATAAGCATAACATTTCTAATTGATTAATGAGTATAGTTATTCTATTTGACTTGCTACATAATTTGTAAATCATCTGTTATGATATTTACTTTTATTAGCAACAGAACTTGCCGGTATCATAAGAAAAGAAAGGCCCAAAAATTTTGATGTGGTTAAATATATAAAATGGAGAAACAAAGTTAATTGATTTGTTAGCTTTGGGTTTTCAAGAGCAAAGATAGATGCTATTATAACCATGCTTCACGCACAACAGTTCATGCATCCAATGATTTAAAAAGTTTCCGTCTATCTTGTCTGGGCTCCCCTCTAGGCATAGCGGTACCTAGGTCGCCCGCTTAGATTTTGGGAGCGTCTACGACGTGGAGACCTCTTACGCAGATTGCACGGCTTAGGTCTTGGTTGTGATTTCTTTCATTGTTGCCTCCACATCATTTGACCTCCTAAATCCGATCGCCTCCACCAACTATAAACACCACCAACTTCTCAGACCTTTCACAGAACCTCATCTATCACAACTTAAACAAAGAAAAGAAATCCTCCGATGGCTAGCTCCTAGGTGCTAGGCACTAGTTTGGCACCTAGCAATGCGTAGCGCTTTTGATAACATTGGTATTATTAAAAAATTAAAAAAAAGAAAACAAGGCGCACCTTTGACCTTAAATTCTATTTCTTAAAAATTTTCACTCTTTTTTCCCTCTGATTTTAATTATGGACATTCTTTACAAAACATTGACTTTGGTAAGAATGTTATTGATAACTAAATCCATACAGAAATAAGATGCATTGTTTTTATATATCAACCAAGGTAGTATATTTTAACGACCAAGAGAAAGTTGATAAGCTGCGTATAAATTGATAAATAATAATTTGATTATGTAAAGTAGTAACTAATCGTTCATATGATATGATAATCATTGCACTATTGTTTTAGAAGCTTGCCACTATACTTTCTTTGCTGCACTTGGCTTCCTGTATTTAATATGGCTAATTGAAGCTAACAGTAAAGAATTGACTTCAGTCTGATCTTGGTAAGTAGAAAGTAAAAGAAACCTAGCATCAGACAACTGGCATTAGTCCATTATAGACTGACATTGGACAGAAGACAGTCCAAGATCTTTGGTGGAAGGTAAAATATTGATATTTTATGTGTAGGCTGTCTAACATTGACCTGATGTTGGTCCATAATTGGGCAAGAGTGCGACTGAACACGGTCGATGGTCGTTGCTATTTACAAATTTGAAATCCTGTTTTGACTGGATTTTTTTGACAGGGTTTGTGAAACTTTGTACAAGGAAACCTCTATAGAGTTATTCCATCATATCTAGAGATTGAGTAGGCCAAAGGGAAGAAGCCGAAAGGTCAATCTGCCGAAGGTCAAAAATGAAGAAATAGAAGAGATTATTCTTGTGGATAAAAGAAAAATGAGATTACTCTTGTGAGAGATCAACAAGAGAAATAAAATATTGCAGTCTTCATCAAGTAATAAATAATTCGCCCCTTCTGTGGACGTAGGCACGTTGTCGAACCATACAAAATCTTCTTATTTTGATTTGATTGCTCGTTTGTTCTTGGTTTTCTTCATAAGGTTTTTGCACTAAACCCTAAAAAGTACAACGATGCCCTAAAAGGTGCAAAGGTGTAGCACCTGCTATTGGCTATGAGCTCTATAGATTAATGCTATAATTTATTAGTCCAGTGCTACTTTCTTTGACAGTTTTGTTTTTAAGGTTCATACTTTCGGATAGTTGAGAAATGAAATCAAATAGCGCCATGCAATAATGTTCTTCCTCATAAGCTCTTTCTTACATATTGAACATAGGGTACCTTCAAGTGTTGGTGGATAGTATTTCCCATTTCCCTCCGCCTTAGGTTGTTTGTGTTGGTCTTTCACGTGAATGATTGCCATCATGACAAATACATCCAAATGTAGGCATTAAAAATGCCTTCTTATCCCTCTTCTCATTTTTTATCGTGTCAACTAGACCTATGCTGGTCCACATCGTTCTATTATTTTTTTTAATAATTACATATACATGTTAGTTATTATTGAAATGTTTTTTTAAAATTAGGGAATACTTAAAGCTATTCTTTCACATAGAAGATGATATATTTAGGGGTTGCTATGTTAGTGGGTGATTCTAAGTTGAAGTTGTACCCGATATGTACCCATATTGAAACTCCTTGGACACTCCTTGCATATATGCATATATTTATTTAGGCATGTACTCAATTATACAATACATGTTTTAATTTTAAACACTTATCCTACATGTTTCAGACATATATCCTACACCACTTCTTGAACTCACTGGACATAGTCTGGTTTTGAATTATAATCTTGAAGGGTTATTTGGATGCCTAGCTCGAAAATTAGTGATTTTTCAATTTATAATCCACATAATAAAACAAATAAAAATGTTATAAGAATTTTAATTATCATTCTTGTTTTCGTATAAATTATTGATTCCAATATATAATATGTGTATATAAATATTTATATAATTGTGCCCCTGTACCCTACTTTTACAAATAATCTGTGTTTCGTATCCATACCGGTAACTGCACCCGTACCATACCCATGTAACATAGAGGGATTGAGAGCTTTCAAGTATTGTATGTATGTTTTTGCATGTGTTGGACTTCCATTGGGCATTATATAATTGTGTAATAAATGATATGTTTTTTTGTATAAATGAAAATAGAAACTCTTTTATCTACAAAATTAGATACTTTTGTTCTCTCTATTTTGTAGCTAATAAAGAGAGAAATTGATGTTCATACATTTAATAAATAAAAAACTTTCAAGCAGACGATTTAATGATTTCATAAAGAGGGAAATTGTTGTTTCCTTTTCATTTATGCTGCATGCATATTTCATCCGTGTCCTACCTTATCCAGTTATTCTTGGCAGTAAGAATCTGAAATTAATTTATCAGAAAATCTTCCAATGAGGTTCACATATATAAAAGGAAATAACATACCCTTAAATTCCTCCGGCACCCCCCCCCACCAAAAAAAAAGAAAGAAAGAAGATTTCTCTAAATTCAGTAACTATCTCGAATTAATATCGAAAACATCATTGTTTATTCACCTCTCAAGGCCATATCCAAACTTTCTCTCCCATTCCTGCGAAGACAAGATATCTGTAATCAGTTCCTCGTGATTATGAGCTGAAAATTTGAGGATGTATCATTCACACCCTTAAAATCAGTCTTCATGGGTGGTGCTTCATTAGTATCAGAGGATCATATACGTTGTGCTTCATGAATTGTTCCTGCCTCATGTCTGTCTGAAGGGATGTTAGTCAACACCTTAGAATGATTTTCTAAAGAAATGTCAGTAAACACCTTAGTATGATTTTCTATCTAAGTATTTTTCTGGTTGTTCCATAGCTTATATATCTAGTTGAGGTGCATGTGTTTTTCTTCTCCTTATCTCTATCTTTTATTCTTCTTCCTTTTCTTTTATCAAAAGGATGCAAAATGGAATTGAACCATCCAATGACGTGAATCAAGTCTTTACTGCTGGAGCTAGGGCTTAAGGCTGTTCCTTTCTATTATTGGAAATAAACAAACAACTCAGCCTTTGGGAATAGAATAAATGAAATAACATATCGTTTTCTATGTAGAACAAATACTTTGACAAAAGATACTTATCAATGTCAGAAACATATATGATACTTATTTACTGTGTGTCAGATACGCTTTTCTTTTCCTAGACGTATCAAAGGCCTGTAATAAGTATATCTCAGACTAAAACGTTAAAGGAAAACCCATTGCATGGATCATGGGCTCACAAATATATTTATTTTTTAGTTTTATTTATGCAATCTGTCCAATTTCTTAATAATAAATTCTTAATAATGGACATGCTTGTTCGACTATTAATTTATATATGTAATCATAAACATTTCGTAACAGCTAAGATATTGTACTTTTTAGCTGTTCTTGTGTTGCATATTCATGCAGTACATGAATAATGAATATTAACACATATTTGTGTCATTATCGCACCGACCGACCATATATCTGCATGCCCATATCATGTTGTTTCTATATCCCATGTCCATATTGGTTTGCATTAGGTTTATTTGGTATATCATTTGAAATTCATGTAAAATTTTTGCTGTATCCACACCACTCACGTATTCTTATTAAATATTCCTTTGATACTGTTTCTCTATGTCCTCACATGCTTTGCACTATATCCATGCCTACATTTCGCTGCCTGTTTTGCTTAGTGTCTATTTTATGGTGAAAGACACTTCAATTTTATGATAATTATGCCCTTCTCAGACAATATTTTCTTTAGAGCACTCCTTTATGATATCTATCAGACAATATTTTCTTTAGAGCACTCCTTTATGACATCTAACTTGGCAATGAATCTTGCCGTTGAATAAAGTTTCTGGAAAAATTTACGGTCATTCTTTGTGCACTATAACCATCAGTATTTAAGGCAATTTCTGCTTTACCTCACGTAAAGAATATGTCTATAGTGTTTTCCTGTCACCATAAAAGTAAAGAATCTTATTTATTTTGACTGCCGATGTCCAAGATTACTCTTATGTCATGATTATTATTACCAATCTCTGTTCTTCTATGTTTTTTTTAAATAAATTGTCTCTGGAGGGAGCTTGGCTTTGCTTCAATGTGTTTCACAATTTTTTGATACTTTACTGCAGGTTTCTAGGTCAATTGGTGATGTATATCTGAAAAAATCAGAGTACAATAAGGAGCCCTTATATGCGAAATTTCGTCTTCGCGAATCTTTCAAAAAGCCAATTCTCAGTTCAGAACCATCAATTACTGTGCAACCATTACAACCACATGATCAGTTTCTTATATTTGCATCCGATGGGCTATGGGAGCATCTTACCAACCAAGAGGCAGTGGATATTGTTCATAACAATCCTCACAATGTAAGTGTACCTTGATCATTTCCATACTATCTTTGCTTTCAATTTTCGTGAAGTTTGAAAAATGACTTTTTGCCAAATGAAGGTTGTCAATATATCCTATTAAACTTAAATACGATGCATTTAATGTATTTGCAAATTGTGCACCTAGTAGTTCAGCTACAGTTTTTCTTATTCTCTTGGCCTGTATACAACTATTTAGCGAATGATAACTGTAGAGTCTTCTTTAATATGCTTAAATTCAACTCAAGTTCTTGCTCTTTCAAGTGTTGTGTAATTAATTATTCTAGTAAAGCTAAAGGGAATCTTAAGATGATCATAAGAGCAGCAATCTTGTAGGGCTCAAGTTGATGATTCGATATCATGTCAGCAAGCATATTTTCGATAATATTTAGCTGTTAAAACTTTTCTATATTAGGATGGGTGAAGCTGAAGAACAACATATGGAAGTGAAATACTCTTTGATAAACAACTTATCGAGTCATGTTTCAGAAGGCTAAATCTCTATGCATGGACTTGGACTCTGTATTTCCTGAGGAACTCTATTGTAGTATGGAGTGTTCTATGCAGGACCGATTAAGCAGATGAAAGATCTTTATTGATCTTTACTTCCCCCTCAATGAAAGGGATTGCGCTCTTGAAAGATGCTAGAATTTTATGGGGAGAGGTTGTAACAAATGTAGCTTGATCTTTTATGATTTCTTTTTCTTGCTTATTGCAAATGACATTTGATAGAAATCAACAATTGAAGAACTTTTTCCAAGTATATACTCCCTATAATATTTACCACATTGTTACCACCCATATAAAAGAGTAGCAAATTGGAGATACAAATGCAAGATGCTCAATTGAAAAGATAAAGGTAAATCAATGCGAGCATATGTAAACGTGAATGATGCCTTTTTTGATTGATCATTCCTTGTGTATTGCCCATTAGATAAGCTGTCTTGTGAGTAGCTTTCCTTCAGACTAAAAGAGAATGCAAGCCCTTGTGATGAAGGAACTTGGAGTACATTGGTACAATTACTGGAGGAAGTATTTCGTTGGGGGTAATGGGCTAGTGGATTTCATTGTACTTTTGTCAATTCATTAAACTTGTCAATCGGACCCTTTCACTAAACCAAAACTCTGATGTTGTTGTGAGGGCCAAGGGATATAATTTATACGTAACGTGGCCCTTAGAGGTTGAAAGCCTATTGAGGACATGCTTAACAAGTTGTTCATTCCTATTTTCAGTTGAGCAAAATATTATACAATAGGAATCCAAGTTTATTTGCTTTTGGCACATGACTTGCCTTCGACATATATTCTTTCCAGTGTTATAAATAGTAGCAAATAGCATCGCAGTAGCGGTGCTAATAGATTTAGCGGCCTCTTTCATAACGATATCGTTCAATAACGGTGACATATTGCGGAATATGCGCTTTCTGCTCGCAAAAGCGGCCAATAGCGCGCCATACCGATGAATAGCGGGCAATTACAGGTAAAATCCGCTTTTTGACCGCTATCTAAAAGCAGTTTCATGTTTTATTTTTTTAATTAAACCCAACCAGCACCCGCAAGACCTGATGTTTTTAAGTCATTACTGATTGAGTCTCCCTCTCGCGATCCAACTCTAAAAAAAAACCCTAGCCTCCCAAAAAGGTCACTGCCTCCCACCGCATCCCGTCGCCTTTGATGACTTTTGGCATCTCCTTGCTGCCTCCCGCTGCCTCCCACGGTCTCCGGCACCTCCCTCGGCACCTCCCTCAGCACCTCTTACCGCCACAACGTCTCCTCTCACTTCCTGTTGTCGTGAGCTCCTTCTATTACATTCTTCTCACCGCTAACCTCATCTTTTTGAAGACAATTGACTCTTTGAGTCTTTCAATCCTCTTCGATATTATGTGATAGTTGCATGTCTATTTCATGCTTAGGATTTCAAATCATTAAATATGTATTTTTTAGATTTTTTAAATTTTTCTTTAATTTTTTTATTTTTTTGAATATTTGTACATATTTAAATTAGACCACTTTTTGACATTGCGTTTTTTGTCGTTTATTTTGCCACAATAGCCCCAAACAGTCTTAGCAGTGCCTCATTGCTACACGACACTATCTGCTATCGGTAACCTTGATTCTTTCTAGGGCGTTATCAACCATCCTACCTCTTCGTTTAGACTTTTGGTGTACAATAATGACAATGATTGGCCCATCTTTATTAGATTCTTTCTTGGTCTGAGGGAACGTGGTGCATTGCCTTCAAAAACTCTGCTCCCATATGAACCCCCACCACACGTGCACTTTGTTCTCTTCCCTTGTTTTACACTCTAACCTAACTACTGTTCAAAGTTTTAACAGCTCATGGGTGAAAAAGATATTTTAGCCCGGTTGAAATGAAATTTTGGGAAACAAATTGGAGAGAACATAGTAGAGTAGAATGGCAGTGTCTGGTTTGGTGTTTTTGTGCGGGTGCGTACGTGCATGTGGGGCTAGGTTGCATGGGTACGGGTATAGAGACAACTTTATATATGGATGTTATATATATTTATATGCATTAAAATTAATAATTTACATAAGATCAATATTATTTTTTCATTTACATAAGATCAAGATATAAGATTTAGATGTGAAGTGTAGATATGTATACAAGAAGTGTATGAGAAGTGTTTTAAATTAGAACATGTATTATATACTTGAGTATACGTTCGAATAAACATATGCATAGATCCCAGAAGTGTCCAAGAGGTTTGAGTACGGGCACGACTTCCTAATAGAAGAACCCAGTAACATACGTGTGGGTTTTCT